AGGACCTATGTTTCTTTGGGCCTGGCTTACTTCACTTAACATAATTTTTTCCAAGCCTTTCCATTTCCTCACAAATGAGGCAATGTCATTCTTTCTGATGGAGGCATAGAATTCCATTGTGTACATATACCACATTTTCTTGATCCATTCATCTACTGAGGGGCATCTGGGTTGGTTCCATATCTTAGCTATAGTAATTGCCTACTTTCAATTTTATCATTCCTTAGGTAGTTTCCTTCAGCCTCAGTGTATCTTTTAGAGTTCTCTTTATACAGTAATGTTGCAGCTTTTCTCCTTATCATAGTTTAAGAAGTTTTTTTAGGTGAAACTATTTCTATGTGGCTTCTGTCTCCTGATTTTTGATCCAGACGATATTCCATTCAAGTGTCTTTGCCAAGTGTTCTTTATATATCTTTCCCACCTTAGATTTGGCTTGAATTCTGCTTCCTAGATGAAAGCTTTTATGAGCATACCAGGTTAAAAAAAATTATTCTTTCTCTAACGTTTTAGCACTTGTCTTCATCTTAAGTGGGCAGTAGTTAAGATAGGCAGCTAAGCTTTACTTGATAAAATTTATTACTTATCTGATGCTACATTTGCCCTAGCATCAAAGCTAAGGTGTTTATGGGAAGCACCAATTGTCTCTCTTCATATTTTAATTTAAGATAAAAGGAATGCTGGTTAAATATTCAGTGAAATGTGAACTTTCACACATTAATAATGAAAATAGCCTTTGGAAAGCAATCTGAAAGCCTGTAAAAAGGCATATACTCTGATTTAGTAATTTTGAGAAATTGATTATAAAAAGACAGGATATGTTTTTTATAAGACTAATGCATGGAATTCTTCTTACAAGAGTGAAAAGCTGAAAAACCTAAGTAATCATTAATGGAATGGCTGAGTAAATTATGATAAACCACCTAAAAACATTATAATCATATAATGATTCAATATTGGGCAATGATTAAATAAACTGGTGGCCAATATTATGATCAAATATGTTTTATCAAGGCTGTTCTGTTGATTGGTTACCATTTATCTGTTTTCTAATATTTCATTCTTTAGTCTTATGTTCTGTTAATTTTTTCATTCTTTTATTCCTTTTAGTTTTACTGCCATTTTAGTAAATATAGAGAGGAAAAGGAAAGAGGCACGAATATTCTAACTTCTATGTTCAACCATAGTCCTTATCTGATTTTTCTAAATTAGGAATCCTTAGAAAATACTGGTGACAATGGCTCACTCCTGTTATCTTAGCTACTTAGGAGGCTGAAATCTGAGGACTGTGGTTTGGAGTTAGCCTGGGCAGATAAGTCTGTGAGACCATTGTCTCTAATAAATCATAAAAGAGAGTGCAAGCCTTGAACATAAAAGTTCAGGGATAAACAGTGCCTAAGCCCTAGTTCAAGCCCCAGTACTGGTACACGTACACACGTACACACGTACACACGTACACACGTACACACACACACACACACACACACACACACGGAATGCTTAGAAATATGAAAAATCCTCAGTGCCTAAGCCCTAGTTCAAGCCCCAGTACTGGTACACGTACACACACACACACACACACACACACACACACACGGTTTGGAGTTAGCCTGGGCAGATAAGTCTGTGAGACTGTTATCTCTAATAAATCATTAAAGAGCCAAAAGTGGAGCTGTGGCTCAAGTGGTAGAGTGCAAGCCTTGAACACAAAAGTTCAGGGATAAACAGTGCCTAAGCCCTAGTTCAAGCCCCAGTACTGGTACACACACACACACACACACACACACACCAGTACTGGTACACGCACGCACGCACGCACGCACACACACACACGGAATGCTTAGAAATATGAAAAACCCTCACTAAAAAATGGGGACAACTCAAATATAAATGAGTGAAAAGTATCACTTTTTTGGGGGGGGGGGTCTGGTCGTGGGGCCTGAACTCTGGGCCTGGGTGCTGTCTCTCAGCTCTTCAGCTCAAGGCTAGTGTTCTACCACTTGAGCCACAGCGCCACTTCTGGCTTTTTTCTTTTTGCTTATGTGGTTCTGAGGAATCAAACCCAGGGCCTCATGCATGCAAGGCAAGCGCTCTACCACTGAGCCACCTTCCCAGCCCCAGTATCACATTTTTATATAGATTTCAAGTTAATAATAATAAACATTAATAAATGTTACTGTAGCTTAGTCTCCAAAATTATCACTCATGTTTCTGACTTCCCCATACCTGTAAAAGAAGCAAAGAAAAATGGAGGCATAAGAAACCAAACTCTATCTTACCTAAAGTTCCAAGGAGCATCAGATTAAGAAAGAACAATGCATTTCAATTATATATCATGGAGGCATGACCCAACCTTCAGCCTCAGGCTTATTGATATAAATCTGTGTATCCAATAGCATTAACACTTTTGCAACTTTATGTAAGAGACCTTTTCCCAATTAAATCTTATACATACCTAGACAATGTTTAAAACAGAAAAATAGCATTTGATTAGTTTATCTTAGGGAGGTCGATTCTACAATATTTATTTTGTCATTTATTTTATATCTATACATCTATATCCATCTATGTCAGTGTGTGTGTTTGCCAGTCCTTAGGCTTCCTGAGTTTCTTTTGCTCAAGGTTAGCACTCTACCACTTGAGCTTTTTCTGTGTGATACTGAGGAATCGAACCCAGGGCTTCATGCAGGCTAGGCAAGCACTTTACCACTAAGCCACATTCTCAGCCCCTATTATAAAATTTATAATGTAAAAATGTACATATTAATGAGTCTTTGTAATATGGCCAGTTGATGGAACAATAAGGCTGAACAAATGGACAGAAGTATTTGAAATGGAATTATAAAGATAGCTATTTAGCTTCAGCATCCAAATTGTCTACAGTTTATTGTAGCTACTCAGAATTTTGCTTTAACCATGTAAGAAATAGAAATGACAAACATTTTAAAGCTGTGTAAGAATGTCTAGAATCTTCAATTATACATTAAACTTGAAAAAGAGTTATTAATACTAATTCATATTATTTACCATAGATATAAGGTGGCTGAAAAGTTTCTAAGATCTCCTCAAATGCTGAAAATTTTATAGTGATATTATCAAATATAGACAAACTTTACTGCCTTTGCAATTACCCTACCATGTGGGATAACACAAATATAAGTATCATTGAAATATATGGTGTGTGTGTGTGTATATAATGCTAACAGATTTTGTGGGTCAGCAATTTACATAACAAGGACGTAGCAAGGGATAAATCTATCTTTGGCCTAAAGTCCAGGGCCTCATCTTAGAACAATCAACAGCTTCATGTGGTGACTTGTTCACTGGAGCAAGAATTATACATCTTATATACCTTTGTTCATAAGCTTAGTGATCAATTTTGCTGACCCTGCCCCACAAACACACACAAAAAGATTCAGACATAATAGATAGCCTATAAGAAACTAATTTGGGTAGGTGCCAGTGGCTCATGCCTAGTTACCCAGGAGGCTGAGATCTGAAGATTGGGGTTTGAAGGCAGCCATGGTAGAAAAGTCCTTGTTGAGACTCTTACCTCCAATTAACTACACAACAACTGGAAGGGGCAGTGTGGCTCAAATGGTAAAGTGCTAGCCTTGAGCACAAAGAGGCTCAGGGACAGCACCCAGTCCTGAGTTCAAACCCCACAACTGCCCCCTCCCAACAAAAAAAGAAAGAAAAGAAACTAATTTAACCCTATTTTGTCAGTGGTGATCCTATTAACCTCTCCACTAACATCTCACTTTCCTTTCTCAGAATAGTTTTAGAAAATGTTTAAGGCACAGGAAATGTGATGGTTCTGGAGTGACAAAGACTAAATTAAAATCTATTTTTAAAGAAGATTATAAAAAACAACAATACAAAACTATACCAGAGTTTGAAAGCTACCAAAGGACCTAAACAAGAATCGAGGGCAAGAGCAGGAATTAAAACATAATAACTGAAATAAAATATTATATGAACCCAATGGCAGAATGAATTAATTGGCAAGAGAACAGAATCAGTAAAGTTGGACAAATCCTTATGATTTACTCAATCTGATTAAGGGGAAAGTAGACTAAAAATAAGCAGCCCTTGAGGGACATAGATGACAATAACAAATCATCTAAATTCATATAATCAAATCATATAAGTAATAAGACTGTAAACTTCTCAAATTTGATAGAAGACATAAATCTAAACCCTAAGGAGGATAAATCCAAAGACAAACAAGTCACAGTGTAGTCAAACTTTGGAAAACTAAAGGAAAATAAAATGTTAAAAGCAGCCAGAGAACAAATAAATTGGCTATCATCAGATTTCTCACTAGAAACTATGGAGACTAGAATAAAGTAGCATAGTATTTTTTAATGTTGATGGAAAAGAATTGTCAGGCACAAATCTTATATGATAAAACCATCTTTTAAAAAATGAAGGGGGAATGGTTTCCCTTATTTGCAATAATTAGTATACATCTGGGACAAGCGGAAAAGGTCAAAAGCTATGTACCTATGACCAGATAAGACGACGTTAAGTGAAATGAACCCCAAGATAGGGACACAAGTTTTTTTTTTCTTTCTTGCTATTGATTCTAATGTTTTTATAATGTACCATGTGATTTTTTTGTTTCTATGTATGTTCCTCCCACACAGTATAACCCCTGTTTTCACTGTATTTGATGTCAGTGCCCTGCATCTTGTATATACACTTCTCTAATTTGGGGAGAGGAAGGGAAAAAACAAAATGCTTAAATAGGGATACAGGCTGACCCATTGTAACAATGAGATGTACAAGACACTATGTTGAAAAAGGAACTTTACAAATTGGGGTTGGGGGGATGGTAGGGGAAAAACAAAGGAGGAGGCAACAATGCTTGATAGAAAATGTATTCATTACCTTGCTCATGAAACTGTAACCCCTCTGTACAGTATTGTTACCATAAAACATATTAAAATAAAAAACTTATTTCAATAGGAAAAAAATGAAGGGGGAAAACATTCTCATATAAAGGGAAAATAGTTTTAAATTTTCCAAACAGAAGGAAAATTATGAATGAATAAGGTTTACCTATAATAATGGAATAACATTGGGGTGGGTTAAGGTACTAGTAGAAATAGTAGGCTATTCTTAAACTTAAAGTCTATTTGAAGACTGAAGCAAAAGTTTTTACAATATCTGTTTGTACAGATATCTGTACGTACAATATCTGTAATGTACAGTACTGTCCCTTACCCAGGGTTTTGCTTTCAGTTGTATTTTACCATGGCAACTGTGGTTTGAAAATATTAAATGCAAATTTTAGAAATAATCTATAAATTTTAAATTATGTACTGTTTTGAGTTGCCTAATCCAATGTGGAGCTGTTTCACTTGGTTCTGTCCAGGGGAATCATCCCTTGGTCCAGCATATCCATACTGTATACACTACCTGCCCATGAGACCCTTAGCAGCCACCTCAGTGATCAGATCAACTGATATCACAGTGCTTGTGGTTCAAATAAGACTTATTTTGCTTAAGCATAAATATTATGTGTAGGAAAAAATAATGCATATTAAACTATTAAAATAGTAATTTTTCTTTTCTTAGAATATGCGTAGACTTCAAAACTAAATGCTTAATCCTAAATATTATAGTAATACTACAAGAATATGCTGAAAGGGGAATCAATCTTTATTACAAAGAAAGTCAATGTTATCAAAATACAAAATGTGGAAGTATAGCTTATAGGATTCCTTATAGCTTACAGGAAGAGGCTGCAGAAATTCAATTATCTTTTTGTGAGAAATAGAAGAAGACACAACAGAGACATAAGACACTCCTACTTATATTTACAGAAAGTGTTAGCCCAATAAGCTCCCTTCCTATAGCTTAGCATGCTCCTTTTCTAGGCAACACTAGGCCCTTTTAGTAAAAGCAGTAAATAATCAGCCTCCAACTCCCTCTCCCCCTTTTACCTTGAGATGGCACTCCTCTGAGGCAGCTACCACCATATAAGGCAGCAAGATCCCCTTAGAGTGACCTTCAGGTCTGGGCAGCTGCAGCCCCTTATCTACTACTTGGGCAGCAGCCATAAATCTTAGCCCACCATGGTTAAGCCCCTGGCCTACATGTGCACACCAGGGTCTCCGCCTTGTAAACCTCATAGGTTATACAAGGTTACTAGACACTATAGCTGGCACTTCTCTCTTGTGAAGTCCCTTTACTGGTAATAAACCTTTTCTTTGTTCTTTGTACCTGGATGTCTCCGTGGTTTTCTGGCAAAGACTAATTTACTCTAACAGAAAGAAGTTTGGAAACAAATCTCCGTGAATAAAACCGATGATTTTTCTTAAAAAAATTTTTTTGGAGGTTTTATTTGGCTACTCTCTCCCCTCCTCCCTGTCCACTTAAGAAAGAGTGTGCTTTCAGTACTGAAAGGTCAGACGGCGGAATGTCACCTGGTGGCCTTTGGCACCCAGGGCGCACAAACAGGTGTCCAGTAATTCCCTATGAATGAATGAATGAACCACGGAAGGAAGTGTTTTTACCTGAATCCAGTCTTGCCAAGAGAAAAAGCTCCCAAAGTCCAGCATTTACAATCGGGGTCTTAAGAGTGAGTGAGAAATGGGGTGTGTGCTAGGTGCCCGCGGCACAGAACGTCTCTGACTGTGTTCTGGTCTCCCCTGGCCTCTGGGAGGTGGCAGGGCCGCTTCTCCAAGGGGAGCCGTGTGAAGAAGACGCGGGTGGGCCGCCCTTCAGCGGTGCCCGAGAGCTGTGTTCAGGGTGGGGCGCCGGCCGGGAGGCCCGCAACAGCCTCCGGCGTGGCGGCACGGTTATTTCCGCCTCAGCCCCTGGCCCCTCTTCCCGAGGGCAGGCGTCTCTCCGCAGAGAGGCAACCAAAAAGGAGCCCGCGCGTGCCGGCCCACACGCTCTTCCCCAGACAGACACCCCCGACACGCGGAGCGGTACCTCACCTGCCAGCCCAGTAGGCAGCCGGCCGCCCGTCCCAGAGCTTCCGGAGGTGTCTTCGGTCGGCCCCGGAATTCCCGCCTCCCTACGACGTCATAACACCGCGCCGCCGCTGACACTTCGCGCAAGTGGACGCCTTTCGGACGCTGGGCCCGAGGGCGGTAGGTCGGCCCCTCGGGCGTTCTTACCTCGAGGCCTGGGACCCGGCTCTGCCGAGGCCGCGGGGAGAGTGCAGTCCTTTTTCTTTTGTTTTGACTTTTAGCTGCTCCTGCTCGTCTGTTGTCCTTCTCGTACGCCGGTCTTCCCTTCTCTGCCCTTTGTCCTCCGTGGCTCTGGTCTTGGGTGCAGCCCTCCAGGTGATTCTCAGGTGACCTTGTTTACCGGCGGCTTTAACACATTGAAGCTCCCGGAAGACGTAGTTACCCGTATGCGGCGACTCCTTCTGTCCTCAGCATCTGGCAAATAGTCGGTGAACAGTAGATACCTGTTCAAAGCTTTGCCTTTGAACAGGTGAATATGACTGTTCAAATGGGCGAATCCTTTGCCCCTTTGGTCAACATCTCAGTGGTAAAAGCACCACCATCCAACCAGATGTTGGAATTAGATTATAAACCTCTTTATAACTTCTCTTCTTTGCTCACTTCCACTTCCCAAGCAGTAGGTAACACTTAATGAGTTTAGAAAAAGTTATTCACAGGGTTGAGTTTTTCGTGAAATGACCCCTTTTTAACACAGTAATTCTAGGAGGTCTGGATTAACAAATGACCAAGTGTCACATGATTAGAAGGACAAAATGATGTTGTCCTTCACACTAATTCATAATTCAATGTATGTGCAAAATTCCCACAAACATAATTTCACTAATTTCACTTCTTGCCTATCATCCGTAATGTATTGCTTTACATGATTAATATCTGTGCACTAAGTCTGCCAGAAACAACTAAAAAGTTTTCATATTCTAAAATCTTTTTAGACTAGTGTCCCACTCAGTATTATCTCTATCCATAGCATAAAAAGAGGCACAGATAAATTACAATTAAGTAATTGTAATTTAAGGACTTTGCTCCAGGTCAGTAGGCAGAGCTGGGTTCTGCTATTACATTTGTATTTATATGTGTGTGTTCATACATGTATACTGTATATGTTCATGTATAGGTACATATATGTGTGTATCTACATCTATGTGTCTATGTATGTACAACTTGACATAACTTCTGAATTGTTCTTCATGTCTTCTCCCTTTTTTGGAATGCACATGCTCTTTCCTATAAAATTGTTATGCCTTGGTATATACTGTTCCCTCTGCCTCAGTTACTGTTATTCCTTACCTCCCCACTCCACCTTCTCTCCCAACACATCATCCAGGACTCATTTCCATTTAATTTTAAACTTTCTCCTCTTCTTTGACCTACATTTTTTAGAAAGATTCTATTAGACTCACTTTGAAAGGTACAGAAACGAAGAACATATTTTCTTAGTGCAGGTATACATTCAATAAAATGAGATATTGATTATTACAACAATAGTAGCAAAAGAACTGAAACCATTATTACTCTTGCCACATTCTACGTTTATATTTTTTTTAAATTTTATTTTATTTTATTTGTGAACAAACTGTACAGAGGGGTTACAATTGCATGGGCAGGATAATGCGTACATTTCTTACCAAGCATTGCAGCCTCCTCCTTTGTTTACCCTTCCCATCCCTTCCCA